AACATATGTAATCTCTGCTACTAATTTAACTATGTCATTGAGGTACCTCCCTCTTGTATTTAAAACTTTTTCAGTGACGTAGCCAAGGGGGTGGCAGAGGGACAGAGGGCCAGGGTCCCCCAGAGCAACCTAGGTGTGCTTAGCATTGAAGCAAGCAGGGCAAAAATCACTTTATGTTGATGAATTTGTGAAATATTTAGCAGTCATCATAACAACAGACGAATCAATCTATATTAGGCAGTTAAAGGTCCATCTTACGTGATGGCCATGGATGACTGTTTATTCATATCCATTTAGAATAGCAGCATCCTCAACTTTCTCATGACTGTGTCGGTATGCTATCCAAATCAAAATTTAACTCGAAATGGATGTTTAATTTATATTGTGGAGTTTTAGTTTACAGTACAGGCCTATACACATTGACAATCGCATGCATTTATACAATCTCACAGTATTCTCTACACACCTTTCTTGTTGCAACATAATGGGTTAAGTACAATCCCGTTCCCGGTTATTCAGGGCCTAATTCGTATTAAGATACAAAAATACAATAGTTTCATCATGGTTTAAAATGTTCTGCATAATGAATAAACTGCTATAAAACAATATGGTGTTCATTTTGATTCTTTAAATTCATAGAAATTTCACTTGATGTATACATTATTATTTGAGAGCAAACGAGCTAAGTTCACGTAAGATAGCCTTTCATATAGCCATATTGTAATGTTTTTGACCCTGACCGGGGGCGCTTGGCAAAGCCTGGCCCCAACCATTTGGTTGCTCGCTTGCTTATACAAATAATTAATGTGAAGGTTTACAGACAGAAATAGGTGCATATGTACAAGATGAGTAAAATGCATAAAAGACATAGCACAAGGAATATTTAGCAAGGAAGGGATTCTAATGACTGGAACTTGACTCCAGCTTTGTAGTCAAAATGCTAGGCTTCCACTTCATGGTTCAGTACAGTAACAGTTTGTTTCCTTCATCGAACATTTTTTTTTGTATTTTGGAGTCAGTCTTCCTCAGCAGCAGTTTTTATGTTTTTTCCAGGGTCATTGGCTTGATTGCTGTAACAGTATCTTTCCTAGTAATAAGAAAATATGTCTCTACAATTGAAATACTACTGGGATTTTTGTATTACTATTCTATGAAATATCAATAGAGGTTGATATGTAGTTCAATTTTATTAACATACCTATCTCTTCCTTATTGAATTTAAGTGAACAAAAACCTGAAAAATAATACTAACAGGGGAGAATTTAGGGGGGGCGGCCTGCCCCCCCCCCCTTTTGGGAGGTAAAATAAGAAAAAAGAAAGAAAAAAAGAAAGAAAAAATGATAGCCCAGAACGCCTCAAATGTTATTTTCGGGCATCTAGAACACAAAAATGTCGGACCCCCTAGCATAGTGTTGCCTCGATCGGGCTAACTTTTGGACCTCCTTTCCCCCACCCCCCGTGGGCATCTCTGGATCCGCCCCTGGATATTATACGTGTAGAATACTTAAGAAAGATCTGATGAATGTTCAATTTAAATCTCCAAACTTCTGAAGCTGAGATATTCTATGAATGAAGGCTTGTATCGCAGGCTAGAATTTAAAAACGGGTGACCAAATAATGAATTAGGTGCTAAATGTTGATTTAATGCTGTTTAAGTTAAAAACAGACATTCCGTCCGAGTGTGACTCATTAAAAAATTTGAGGGGGTTCGCTAGGATACAGAGGGGTTCGCTAGAAAAGGGGGGTTCGCCCGAACCATAAAAACCTCCCCTGGCTACGGGCCTGGCCATTATTGTGTATATATCGTTGCAAATCTAGCCGCATTGCCGAAACAAATTCTACACTTCACATTGACAATTCCCCATTCTTAACTGATCACGTTGAGTACTTAAAGTTAATTTATAAAAACAAGGTGGCGCACTCGCTTCGCTTGCTTACCCTCTGTAGGTGAAGGTCGCGATTTGTTTCGATAAAAATAACAATATAGAGTACTACAGTGTTACGTCAGGATACCACGTGATACTACTCCGTTGCCATTGGCGACTGGATTGGATTGGATTTATTCGGTGTAAACACCAAGGATAGCCCACGAAAGTCTAGAAGAAGATTTGTTCCCAGTGTGGTCCTTCTGGTGGTGATTGGACAGTACACCGGGAGACAATCCCCTACTCTTTTCCGGAGAGTGTACTGTGTTCTTTAACGTGCACATGGGCCATAAATGCACACGGGACCAACGGCTTAAACGTCTCATCCGAAAGACGGTGCGCTATAACTTGTATTTCAGCCCTCTAGCTGAAACACAGGGAGAGGCAGCGATGGGAATTGAACTGGGGACCTAGAGATCTCCACGGTTCAGCGCACACACAGTGGCTACCACCAGATTAGCCGACTGAGCTAAGCTGCTCTCAAAATTAGTTCAACCGGATGCCATTTTCTCCACTGATAAACCATTGATCCCAATTTCTAACGTAATTATTAAGATGTATCTTAGTTTTTCTTTGTAAATTTTAATTGATGATTAAATGTGTGTTCGATAACTAATATATAATGCGAGCTTTTGTGTTTTTAGTACATTTTGATGGTAAAATGCCTATTCCAGAAAGCCTTTTCTAAACAATTAAGATTACTGTAGAACTCCTCCTTTGGGACAACCCTATTCAGGGGACACCCCTATTAAGGGAAAACTTTTCCGTAAAACGAGTTGAAATATATCTTTTAACACTACAGCCAACCCGTATTAAGGGGACACACTATTAAGGGGACGGAGACACTTTCTGAGTGTGCCAAATGGTCAAATAACCCCTATTAAAGGGACACTTGATTTTTTTTTTCAATGTATCACAACATCCACAGTACTCTAAAAATAAGACAAATTCATTCAACTTTATATTTTTACACTTTTTGAGCAATAAACCAGATTTTTCCCCCCTGAATCCGAGTGAATATCACTATAGGCCTACTGCATGTGTTCCTTTTTATTAACCATTCTTGTCAATTTTGACCTTTAACAATGGGGATTTCTTTTTCTTTGTTTTTCGTGTATTTCATATAGGATTCTAATCCATATCAAAATATAATAATAATAATAATAATAATAATAATAATAATAATAATAATAATAATAATAATAATAATAATAATAATAATAATAGGTAAACACTTTTTATTCAATTCAATTCAACGTAACATTAATTTATCCGATCCTTTTTTTCATATATGTACAGCTTTTAAATAAAAAAGGTAAATATTAATTTCAGATACACACCAATTTAAAATTAAGCAAGTTTGAAAAATGAATTAATCATAATATATACATGGTCACTCAGTGCGGCCCATAATTATATTAATCATTTATTCATAAAGATTAAGATCCTTGAAAAATAAAATATCGAAATAGAATTTACGATTTGTTATATCGAAGATTATTAGATTATCAAATAACTTAATGTAGCTTCAAGTGTAGTATTATTTCGAATTTCATGTATGTTAAGCTAATAAGGATTGTTTCTCACCAGTAGCTTTCAATCCGCATTCTCAGACCATCTTCAGCAGAAAGAATGACATTGACAAGTAATAATAATAATAATAATAATAATAATAATAATATTAACAACAATATGTCGTTCTTTAGCACTTCATGCACAAAGCCTCTATGCGCTTCACATTACTACCTCGGTCAATGGATCAAACACCGCTTCTAAAAACATACTGTATTACTCTATTTCATGCTACACCCATCTAATAGAAAGCTTTAAATGTGATTGTTGTTATATGAAAACATGCCAAACCCCTATTAAGGGGGAAATTTTATGTTTTTGGTTAGTGTCCCCTGAATGGGGACACTTTTTTTGGTCCCGAAGGTGTCCCCTTAATAGGGGTTCTACTGTATGAAGTCATTCAGGCATAATGAAGGGTAAACGTCTGGTTGACAAAAAAGGGCGCCACCTGGTGTTGTGACGACACGACTGCTATGTACTCTATAGCCACTAAAACCTACCACTTACGCGCGTCCTATAGTAAAAATTATAGTACCGTACTATACTGGACACATAATTAGGTCTACAAAATTAAAGGGTCAAGTTAAATTCTGAGAAAGAAAATTTGTCTCCTATTATAAACCCGAAAATAAGTATATTTTTAAATAAAATATTGTTTTAATGACAATGAGCACCAAGTAAAATAGTCCGATAGTTTTAACAGACATGGTTATAAAAAATGATATAAACAACTTTGTAATTGGTACAAAAAGTCTTTGAATATGACGGTTTCAGTAAGAAATACATTACCGTTTTTTTTTTTTTGTTTTTTTTTTTGTACGTAGGGAACATATTCAGTTGAGTGTATCTATACAATTGACTTATGTTGAGTGCTTTCTAATGGAAGAATACTTTACAATTCAAAAACAGAACTGCAAAAACTAAAATCATAGGTCATAAAAGCTTCATCTCACATATTCCATATTTCAGTTTGAGGGGAAATAATAACTTTACTGTCGATATTTACTCTGGATTAAAAAAAAATAAGTTGTTGATACGTCCCTTCCCTACAAAAATAATAATAATTTTTTTATTTTTTTCATTTTTTTTTGTGGCCAAAATTCACGAAATTGTCGTCTTTCCGCCCACAGTGCAATTCGGCTAAGCCTATGTTTTGTGTGTGTAATTATTTTGAGATAGTTGGTCATTCACCTTGAGTATTGACTAATATCACAATCATTTTTTTTTTCTTTGATAATTTTTTTTTTATTTCAACAGAGAGTGTAATTTGTAATCACATTAAAAGTGAAAAAAAAGGATTGTATCCTATTGGAGAAGGGCCAATTAAATGACACCCTACATTATTTGCTTTAAGATCTAACAGGATATCACGTAGGCCTGAAAAAATGATTGGCATGAAGGACCATGCTCTAATCCTATTGGCTATTAAACGACCCATAATAAAATTTCCATGGATTAGATTGGATATTCGGTGAAAACACCAATGCGAACATTGCAACTGAACTACATACGATCATCTGACCACGGAGGCATCGACTACTGTATACTGACTAAGTGTACTACATTACTATATAAACATTATACCATATTGTACAAGTAGTAATAATTCGGTCTGGTCAATGAAGCTTTGTCTGTGAATTCAGTTGAAACTGTAAGTAACATCAATACTGATTTTCTTCTCTTTTTTAAGCAACTCCACATGTGCAGCAACCTATTTAATAAGTTAATATGAACATAATAAACTATGAATAAACATATTTAAGAAGCCAGTACAGTCTTTTGGTCTAAGACACGGGTAGAGTATGAGGTCTATTCGGAAATTGTCGCTGTTGAAACTAGGCCTACACGGTTACTATAAATTTCAACGGCCGTTGTGTGTGTGTTCCCTGTGCAACATTCTCATTTGGTAACGCATGGTACACTACTATTATCATGGAGGTATTCCTCCATGCTATTATTAACCGTCATGACTAATGCGACCAATTACGGCGGTGCATGGATTTGATCAAAGAACGTGAATAGCGTATGGTGGCGGCCTAGCACTTGTGTATATGCCGTAGGCCTATTATGAAAAGACTGACAAATAGAAACCAGGCTATTCTATTGCATTTACGCAAGTCAACTCGGCCACAAGTCAACTCGGCCATAAGTCAACTGCAGCCTATTTACTGGTATGGCGTACTACACTTTGAAGAGTACCGGTAATTCATAGTCATAGAGAAAGAAAATTATTTTCTTTCTCTATGATGAAGTATGAAATACAAATTCTTTAAGTATTACTATAACTTATTGTTATTATTATTGCTGTTATTATTGTTGTCATTCATGTTGTTATTATTATTGTTGTTTTTATTAGTTTTAATATTAATTATTAGTCTTAGCATTATTATTTTAATAATAGTAATTTAAAAATTATTGTTACTGTTGTTTTATTGGTATTTTTCTCATATTATTATTATTATTGTTGTTGTTGTCACCTTTATTATAATTAGTATTATTATTATTTAAAAAAAAACATCTTTAATTTATTTTTGTTGTTATTATTGCTATTATCACCTTCAATATCGTTATTATCACTAATTAGTATTATTAAAATAGATATTTAAATATCGTTATTATTACTTAGTATTATTACTATTAGTATTGTTAAAATAAATATTAATATTAATATTGTTGTTATCACCTTTATTAGAATGGATTTATTCGGTGTAAACACCAAGGATAGCCCACGAAAGTCTAGAAGACGGTGATTGAACAGTACACCGGGAGACAATCCCCTATTTTTTTCCGAAGAGCGTACTGTGTTCTTTAACGTGCACATGGGCCATAAATGCACACGGGACCAACGACTTAAACGTCTCATACGAAAGACGGTGCGCTATTATAACTTGTATTTCAGCCCTCTAGCTGAAACACAAGGAGAGGCAGCGATGGGAATTGAACCGGGGATCACGATACAGCGCACACACAGTGGCTACCACCAGATTAGCCGACTGAGCTAAGCTGCTCTCTCGTTATTATTGTAATGATGCGATATGTTCTCTCGTTATTATTATCGTTATTATTGTAATGATGCGATATGTTCGTGCAATGGGATTGCGTTGCAGCTATTATTGTTTGCTTTATTGTTGTTGTATTTGCATATTCATAACTAATTATGACTAATTAGTATTAATAAGGTAAATATTATTAATTTATTGTCGTTATTGTTGTTTAATATTATTGTTGAAGTAGAATGTTGTGAGTAAACAGAAGACGAACACACGACGTCAGTAAGATTTTCTTGCAATAATCATTATAATTAGGCCTATTCCGTAAGTTATTAGTTATCTAAAAGGAGACATTTTTATGGGCAATTCATAAGCTCCACTAATTTTAATGTCTATGATGACAATAAGTAAAATGAAAAAATTAATATGTAAATTTATTCTAAAAAAATGTATAATTAAAAATAAATATGAGAAGATGTAAAGGGGTGCGGGGCAAAGGTCCGCGGGAGAAATTGTTCTGTCGAAAATGACACTGGGCAAAATGTCCGGGGGAAACCAGCCTGCTACCGATGATGACATAGGCCTCTATATGTCGAATTGTAGCCTATTGTAATACTTGGGGTATGTATACTGTTCTGAGATTAATCAGCGGACCTTTCGGTTTTATAAGTATTCAGTGGCAATTTTTATTTCTATAGGCCTACTGCTGTATTCATTTTTACGAATATGAATATTCTTATTACTACAGTTTTCGTCATGGGTTTTCCCTTAAATTTCTTCGACCTGTTTCATCCATTTTGTTTTTCAAATGTTATTGTTTCGGTGTTAGTACTGTCATTTTTGGATATCTAAATTATTTTGCAAATAACATTACCGATTATCATTTTTTAAATTAAAAACAAAAATCCATTACCTCATTGCTATTCACTGGATTATTCCCAGGCTCGTAACTATGGGGGTTCGAGGTTTTCAAACGAATCCCCCTTTTTTAAGAATTGCCCTTTTGAAAGTGTATGTACAAATTCTAGAGTGACATTTCTAGGCATCTAATGATCGAGGTAATGAAAATTAGTATTTTTTAACACAAATTCTGTCATTGGAGAAAATGCAGCTGGTTTATAAGAAAAATTGTAAATTTACCATTATACAGTATTTACCCTTCAACCAATTTTAAATAAAAAAAAAACAAAAAAAAAACTAAAATTCACCCTTTAAAAAAAATTTAACCCCTCCCTCCCCCTTTACAAATGCTGGCTACGACCTTGGTTCCCTAATTTGTTCAAGTCATCTTTCACCGGTGATTCACGTCATTGGATGCATCCTTTCACTGACGGGTTTCAAACATGGCCCCCCCCCCCCCAATGGTCGGACAAGTAATGAAGGACTGAAGCGAAATGTCTGTCACTCAACAATTTACCAATTGTTCCTATTGTGGATAATTGATACTAGATTATTAAGATTGCTTAAATTGTTAATGACATTATTGTCAGATTTTATTCCATTCTGTAAGTGGCGGGTTTTCTCTGTTCAATAAGAGTAGGCCTACAGTGTGGTGAAATGAATACAACGATCTCACGACGCGATGATCAGAATTTTACTAAAATATACCGTACGGTACTGTGTACTTCATTTCAATCATATTGAAGAAAAAGGATGCAAAAACTGAGTAATATTTACATTTCATTTTAATTATTTTACTCTATATATAACATGTTATATATTATAAATAACTTGTGGCCGAGTTGACTTGTGGTCGAGTTGACTTGTGGCCGAGTTGACTGCAGCCGGACTTTTTGTGGCCGAGTTGACTTGTAGCCGAGTTGACCAGCTACCCACAAACATATATACACCATGTACCGGTAATAGGTAATACTATACCATGGACCTGGTCCATGGTAATACGACACAAACTTAGGTAGGCCTAGTATACAATTGCCGTTTATTTGAAGAGAACACATCTACGGTGCCATCTATGTAATTTTCTGGTAATCTTTACTACAAAAATGTATTATAAAAAATAGGGATCCCTGTCACCCGCCAGTGTAATCCAGTCAATAATATCATCATTTCTGTGGGTAGGCCTACTGCAGAAATGAGTAGCAACAAATAGTATTTAAACAATTATAAATAATCTCACGCCATCAGGTCTAATCTTTATTTCATTTTCCTGAACCCGTCGGCGCCTATAACTTAACACGTAAGAAACATAATAATACCAGGAAGTTTTATAACAACTCCCTGATAATACCATTTGTTGAACAACATCATCAATTATCATTTCATCCGATGTAAGGTCCTGGAATGAAATACTGTAACAATAACCGTCGATTTATGTTTTTAAACAAACATTAAATAAAAATTCACCATTTAAAGAACAGATAAAAGAATATTATGAGATCGATGATAAACATGTCAACAAAATTAATACTATTGTCTTTGTTTTAGTGACTTAAACTCTCATTCCTTTGCTTATATGGTCTGTTAAATGACTCAAAATATGTATGTGGACACAAATTTGAGGATCCATATCACTACTTTTTTTCCTGACCTATTTATTAAACAGAAAGAAAAGAACTGCTATGCAGGGTTGCCAGATAGTCGACAATCTTCACGGCCAAAAACACGCCATCTCACGGCCAAATTCGGCCAAACTTTTTTTCGATATCGACCAAAACTCGGCCAGAATTTAATCCGATTAGAAGACAAAAGTGGGTACATAATTACACGAAAATCAGCGGTCATTCGTTAGAAATTGAAGAAATTCAAATGATATACACAGAATGATGTTAAACTTTCACTGTTTTTCATACATGCCCAGCTACATCATTATAAATAGCCAATGTTCTTTAGTTGCTGGCAGGCCAATTTAGGGGCGAATCCACAGATGTCCGAAAGGGGGAGGGGCCGGGACCGAAAAAGATTACACCATCTTGGAGAAATTTTTGTTTTCTAGACGCCCAAAAATAACCTCTGGTGCGTTTGGGCGATCAATTTTTCTTTATTTTTTTTTTTTTAATATTTTTTTTTCACCCCCCCCCACCCAAATCCGCCTATGCTTTTTGAAAATCACATTATTAAGATTGATCTAAATTTGATTTAAATGTATTAAATATTAAGGTACATTGTAATCGATCTATGGCATAGCTACCAACTGTCTCGCATTTCAAAGTGATTTTGGATAAAACACACATTTTGCAGAAACACATGCGTGATCCATAATTTGTCACGCATTTAGCACAAATCTATGCGTGATAACGAATAATCACGAATTCAGGGGAAATGTATTTAAAATTAAAAGAAATTAGTTTTATATCAAAATATATATATATAATCATGCAGAAAAAATTAAACTGAATAGAAGCCAATTTCTCAAAGAAAGTTTCACCCATAAGCATTAAATAGAATATTTTGTAAATAGCATTCAGTTTTCCATATTTTTTGTCTTTGGTAATTGTTTGTACACAGGTCCCTCATCACTATGCATGTCTTTTATGTCAAAATAATGTCAGTAACTGCCGAATGTCTGAAATCAGACGGCTACAAGTACCAGTACCAGTAATTGAGTCATTACAGAGTACTTAATATTTATGTGAATATTTATTTCACTGACACGTTACTAAAAATTTATCAGTGAAATGTTTAGGTCAACATAGTTCGGGTGCTCAATTACATTGAAACTAAAAATATTTTGCTTATGTCACCGTTATTGTCAAGACACACTCCCTGAAATCGTTTTAAAACAGTTTTAATGCTCAGATCGTCGGAGCGCCTGGGGCCACGCCCCCTCGACTCCAGCTGGGCTCCGCCTCTCGATAACGCCCCCTCAGCCAAATGGTGTAGTCACTCACGCATTTCAAATCTCTCAGGTTGGTAACTATGCTAGAGCAAAAAATGTAAGGGCCTGTTATTGGCAAATCCGCGGTGAATTAAGTTATAGTTAGGTAACACAACCTGGCGTTAAACAAACCTATGACAACTTTATCAATTCTTTATATCTAAACATTCTAAATTCGCCTCTAATGTTATTGTCGCAGTACTTAAAGCAATAAATAAATGTTGCTATCAGAATTATCCATTCTCTACGGAAGCACCTAAGTGCCATTCGACTTGACGACTTGTCAAGATAATCTATCTCGCCATGTCGACATGATATGTATATTATGTCGACTTGACAACATAAATTATCTTGACAAGTCGTCAAGTCGAATGGCACTTAGGTGCTTCCGTAATTCTATATACAACCTAACTCTAGAGTAGCTTCGAAGAAGTATCTGGCACAACGCTTGCTTGAAATTGGAGGTGCCATCGGACCCGAATGGAGTTCTACATAAAAAAACACTGCAGCACCTAGGCCTATACAATTCAATTAATAAATTAATTAAAGTACGGTATTTAATTTATATTCAAAAGAGATTCCAAAGAGATAGAACCTCCATTAGGATGGAACATATGCAAACACACACAATATATGGTAAAAACTTACATTGAACTGTCTTCATGAAGCTTAAACGAGGATAAATTTCATATAAAATAATAATATTTCATCCGAACAATTTAAATTATTAAATGTAATTGTTATCTTTTAAATAAACTCTCTTACGTCCAATCGGCTAAAGGGGTCCGGGTAACAGGCCTAGAATAAGCGTTTAGTGCAAGTACAAACAAAGGTACATGATTAGAATCAAATATAGAATTTAAGCTAACAAAAACAACATATTCAAAAACAAGTCTACGTTATATTAGGCCTATATTGGAAAAAAAATTTAAACTTTTTAAAAATTAGGCCAAATATAGGCCTACTTTGGCCGTGACTTTTCAAACGTTACGGCCAGGCAAATTTTTATACGGCCAGATTTGAGAAATCTGCTGTAAAAAAGACCAAATGGCAACCCTGCTACTATGTTTTAGCAGGGAACAGTGAAATTACATTTAATGATCTCGAACTACTAAGGCATGCTAATCAATACCTATTGTTCGCTATTGTTCTTGTCTAATTGCCCCTGCTGATGTGTCCTGTTTTTGTTTTTTTTTGTGATGAAAATATTACCACCAACGTCAGAAAATTTCTCTTAGACTTCAAACCAGTCGTTTTTGTTTTGTTTTTTTTAACTCAGTCGTTTTTTTTTAACTCACTCTTTTGTGTTTTTTTTTTATTGTTACATCATAAATTCAATAAATAACAATAAAATAGCGTACATGAGAGGAGTACAATACTATAGCAACATAAACTACCACCTCCCGTCATAAAACACCATCCCACATATAATGTACTGTCACAAGTATGTTTAACTGTGAACACAGGCATGGCCTAATATAATTTTATTTTTTTAAATAATATTTTGGATACATGATTAACAGTCCTTAGCGAGTTATACAGTATCTGCTGAATGTATTTCACTGTTCCCTGGTTTTAGCCAAAGACTCTTCTATAATATTTTTAAAATTTTATTTTTGTAATGTAATATCCCGTAGTAAAATAATGTATAGAATTTCTAAAGAAACCATTCTATACAATTTCTACAGCTTTTCTATAGGCTAATTCTATATGATTTTCAAAACCAGCTTTATAGAGTTTTAATAGATTTTCTACAAGGTCGCTAAAGATGTTTTGATGTAGTTTAAATAGAAATCCTGAAGAACTCCGATAGAGTTCTATAGAGTGTTCTTAGAACCTCTAAAGAAATTTTGTAGAAAAAAAAATTCTATGAAAAATTTATAGAATTTACTTAGAGTATTTGTATAGAAAAACAAAATTGTATAGAGTTTCTTTAGAAACATTTTTATTTTCTATAGAACTACAACAATTACTATAGAAGTTTTTTATATATAATTTATATAGAATTTTCAATAATTATATCGACTTTTATAGAATATATTCTATAGAAAGTTAGACGAATTATGTAGAAAAACGTATAGAAAATTACCATTATGAAAAAAATCTATAGAAAGTTGATAGAATTTTCATAGAAAAATACACAGGTTTCTATAAAATGTCTACATAATTTTGAATTTCTGTTAAAAATTCTATAGAATTATTATTATTTCCATAGAGATTATTTTATAGAAAAATATAAACATTCTAAAGAATACATATATAAAGTTATAGAATGTTTATAGAAATAAATCAGAATTCTATAGAGTTTCTATAGGTTGATTCTATGTAACTTTCTAAAAGCTGACCTATAGAGTTTCTGTAGAAAATCTATAGGAATTCAAATAATGTCTTAATAGAATTCTATTAAAACTCTATATGGTTCTTTAGAAAGTTGATAGAAACTCTAAAGAATATTTTTAGAACCTGAACAAAACAATCATCTACTGTATAGAGTTTCTTTAGAACTTTATTTTGGTTTCTATAGATGTACAGAATTCCAACTTTCAAAAAACTTTCTTTTAATAAAATGTCTTTATATAAAATATCTAGATTGGCAATGCCACTTTTTCTCTTCTCTTGCTTATTCTAATTGTATTGCACAGCCAGTTATGAAGTATTTATTTATAACAATCAGCTAAAATTTTATTGACATTACTTCAGATCATCACTGACAATGTTCTTGAAATCAGCTGCCATATCTTTCAACTTGATCAACATAGAAACTTTTACCGTTGCAGCACTTCTGAGAAGATATATTTAGATTAATAGATTATAAATTTGGGGAAATTTATTATAAAAATATAATAAAATAAACATGCAAAACTACTTTATGGCTAGGACTAAGTATTATGACTAGCCTAGGCCTAGGGCCTAGAGGTGAAGTATAGTGTATAATAAAATAGAGACTAGCTTAGGCTAGGGCCTGCCTAGGCTGAGATACCTTCATTTTCTTCCTTGCAAAACAATATGAATGATGAGTGTGAAACATAATACCGGAATTCGAGTACATATAGTTCGTTTTCAATCCATTAATCAACAGAAATGGTATCGTAACAAACTTGGTCATGCGTTTTGTAATTCGACCATCTCCTACACACGTATGTACTGGCCTGTACCTCTGATATTCAAAGGGCGCGTACAGCCTATTATTTTATTGTTTAGTGGCGCGCTCACTCGCTTGTTGTGCCTACATGGGATATCAGTGCGCCATATTCTGCACGTAGTGAGACTCTCATAGTCAGCTAAATTATAAACATATAAATTAGAATACAAAAGAGGCCTATGGAAAATAACATTTAATAATGTTGTTCCTAAATATCAAGATTAAACATTTCATCTTCTTACAAATAGGCTGATTTTAGAAAGCTTTCGAACTTTGTTTTCTCGTTTTTTTACGTCAAACGCGATGTGTTTGTCGTTTGGTTCAGAGCTACTTAATTAGCATATTCATGCTCTATTTTGATTGCTAGAAACATCAGGGAAATGGATTTATGTTTTGTGATAAAGTGCAGGCAGATGATTTTGATAAAATCCAGATAATTTTAAAATTTAAGAGTTGTTTATAATATTTTCATAAATTTATAAAATAACATTCAATACAATACGGCATTTACATAGGCCTATTATTTCCTATGAAATCTGTCAACACGTTCTGTAAAACGTATATAGCATATGTTTAGAATTTTGATAGAAATCCCCAATTACGATGTAAAAAAATTAATTCTATAAAAATCCATTTATAATTTTATAGAACTTGTATTATACATTCTATACTTTTATCTGTTTAATTTCTAACGACTTTCTAAACAATTTATCCAAAATCGTTCAAAATTAAATAGAAAATATAACGAGAGTTCTATAGGATTTTTCTAAAAGAAAAATATAAAATTATATAGACACTATATTTAAAAAATCGAAAGAGAAAATATATAATTAAATCTATAAATTGTATAGAATTTAAATAGAATTCTTTCTATAACATATTTTTCTAAGCAATTCTCTATATAATTATATTTCTATAGAACTATCTCTATAGAGAATGGATGGGGTCTTATATAGAGAAAAAACCTTCGATCAATTTCCTATAGAATTATATTTCTATAGAACTATCTCTATAGAAAATGGATGGGTCTTATATAGAAAAAAAATCTTGCATCAATTTTCTATAGAATTATATTTCTATAGAATTATCTCTATAGAGAATGGATGGGTCTTATATAGAGAAAAAAAATCTTGAATCAATTTTCTATAGAATTATATTTCTATAGAACTATCTCTATAGAAAA